GGTAATATGGCCGGGTAATTTTCGGCGGGTACAAAATGTCCGGGGGCGGAATTGTGCTGAGGACGCGTAAATGTCCGGCAGGTAATTTGTCGCGAAGGTCATGTGTTCGGGGATGAAATAGCATGGGGCGGTAAATGCATGGCGTAATGGCATAGGGGTAATTGTCCGGGGCGTAATTGTCCCGGCGTAATTTTCCGGGGGGTAAATGTCGGGGGAATTGTCCGGGGTGATAATTGTCCGAGGTAATTGTCCGGGGAGTAATTGTCCGGGCGTAAATGTCCGGGGGGTAATGTCGGCCTGGAATATTTTCCGGGGTAAATGTCCGGGGTAATTGTCCGGGCGGGCAAATGTCCCGGGGTAATTGCCGGGGGTAATTGTCCGCGGGTAATTGAGTCGGGGGCGTAAAATTGTCCGGGGTTAATTGTCCGGGGGGTAAACTGTCCGGGCACGTAATTTGTCCGGGGGGTAATGGTCCGGGGCCGTGAATAGCATGGGGGGTAAAATGCACTGGGGTTAATGTCGGGCGGATAATTGTCCGGGGGTAATTGTCCGGGGGTGCAGTCGGGGGTATTGTCCTGATACGATCCTTGTATATAGAGGTCATGCTAGGAAACGTGACCTTTCTAAAACAGGTGTAGGATTTTCCGCATGCGAGCGACGCTGACACAGTTGACTGTTGATAATCTACATTACAGTTTACGGATGTTCGCGAGCTCAACTCTGAGGCGAGACGAATGGCGTCGCGCGCGCGCGTGCGTGCCGGTGGCCGACGCCGTAACCTCCAGCGGACCTGTTTGACGGCTGCGCAGAGGAAGAGAAGTAGCGATGACCGTCCGCGACCTCTGTGTCCACGCGTGAACGCTCCGCCGCTCGTCGCTTCCGCCAAACGAGACAAGATCAGACCCGTTTCGATGAAGAACACCCTGCAAGGCGAACGAACCTGCAGGTTTGCGGGAACATTCACGAGCACAGTAGGAACATACCGTGTGCCTTCTTCGCACTTAACAGCTGGCGTTGTGGCGCCATCTACTGGTTAGATTGCCCTTCCTAGGGGCAGTTTTCGTTTTTCAGTTGATTAGAGTTATTCTTGGATTGTTCGAGTAATCTGCTAATCGAATATCGCACGATGTGTCGTATCTGCCTGCTACTACTATATTGTCTCTTAAAACTCAATTAAGTGACTTACTTTTTACGATTCTTGGGCGGGTAGCTATATATACGTCAGTCTAGTACGTGAAAGATCACCTCGCTATTACGCAGGATACCGGTGTTTGAGACTCTAGATCTGAGAGTGGATGTTTCATCTTTTAAAACGCACACTATCAAGCAGATCTATTAGATACAGTATAGTGTAGATCGTACGATATAGTGTAGATCTTGTCAGAGCTGTTAGACTGGTTCTGTTATAAGCTACGTTAGTCGCGGTTTAAATACTGGTTGCGCTAGCTTATTCCACTCCGTCTGCAGTATCTTCACACGTCCTGAGCCCGATCAGCGATGAAGGCGCTGCCTCGTTGGTAGCATCACGCATGACGATGCATTCCTTTAATACAACCATCGCTCACTATCCTTCCATTTCCTCTCTACTACGTCTGCCAAGCTTACACACCAGTAACACGTCGTAAAAGCCCGGACAGGACTTTGCGACCGTTGTCTATTACGTTGTCTATACGCACGCTGGTTGTGTCGTGTGTTGTGTGTGTATGTGCTGTGTGTGTGCTGGTGTGCTTGTCGTGTGGGCTGTGTGTGGTGGTGTATGGCCGTGCGGCTTGCGTGCCAGTTTGCGCCGCGTGTGTGATCGCCTGTGCGTGCGTGCGTGTGTGGTTTGCTGTGCGTGGTCGTGATGTATGCGCGCGGCACCACACGCGGTCACCGTCTGTAAGGATCCATAGCGTCGAGTAGCAGACAGCTAGTGCCTAATTCGCTGTACATAAAGTCAGCAAGTTCATTTCAGTATCAGTTTCAAGTTCATCAAGTACATTTCCATATCGACTCTCGCATTTGCGCATTTCGCCATCTCGCATTTCGCATCTTCGCATCTCGCATTTCGATTCGCATCTCGCATTTGCATTTTGACATCCTCGCATTTCGCATGCGCATCTCGCATTTCGCATCGCATCTCGCATTACGCTTCTCGCAATTTCAGCATCTACGCATTTCGCATTCGCATGACGCCTTCTGGGCTCTTCGCTAGACCAGTAATATGATAAGCTCTGCGAAATTACCCGCGAACACGAGAGTTAGTATCTGGAGCGTGAATAGATTAAATTAACGCTGATGACGGGTCAGTAGTGCTATATGGGTGGATAGCCGACGACGGACGGCGATATGTTACTCTCCGACCCGACTGCTAAAAATTTACGACTGCGTATTTACCCAAGAAAATAATGAGGAAAAAGCGATTTTTATTAAAATATACTAAGCAAGCTGCCGAAGTATTGCAAACAGGTAGGCCAGCTTAACGCTAACACGGACAAAGTACTCACGTCATTTTGTGACGAAACACACAGATACAACCATACACACCACACACACCACACATACGCACCGCACAAACACACCAGTACATACACCTCACCATTGCTGTACTGCTGTTAGTCACCATTGCGTCACTATTTGCTGTCCACTGCTGCCTGCCACCATGCTGTCCTATTACTGTCACTAGTACTGTCAACTATTACTGTCGATGAGTACTGTCGCAAGTGCTTGTCACCATTTCTGTCACTGCTGCTGTCAGCGTTGCTCTGGTCACGCTGCTGTCACTATTGCGTGTGCGCAATATGCTGTCTGAATTGCTGTCACTAATTGCCTGTTGCTGGAATTCGCTAAGAAGCTGGATATACGGTCGGCATGTCGAGCTGTGATCAGTGAATGAGTCACGGATGCGAGTGTTAAAACGCCAGCACGGAGTATTCCGCCATCAACAGTGTTTTTGTTACCCGACATGAGTTTTTCCCAACCGAACAAAGCTCGATGTGCACAAGTACTCATCAATATCCAACATCAATATATATATATATGAATATATATATATGTGGTCGACCGTCGCGTCGTATGTGTGTGTGTTTGTGTGTGTTGTTGGTGTGTGATGGTGTGTGGGTGTGTGTGTGTGTGTGTATGTGTTGGGGCGTGTGGTATGTGACCTGTGTGTGTGCTGTGTGTGCGGTGTGTGTGTGTGTGCGACGTGGACTGGGGGTGGCGCTGTGCGTGTGGTGCTGCTGTCCCAGTGTGTGTTATTTACTGTGTGCCGTGGTGTGTGTGTGTGTTGTGTGTGGGTGTTGTGTAAGCTGTGAATTGTGTGTGTGTGCTGTCGTGATGTCGTGTGCCTGTTGTGTAATGTATGTATGTTAGCCGTATGCTGAGCTGCATGGATGCATGCGTCATGTATGTATGATACGCGGTGTGTATCGTATGCTAGGTATGGTATGGTAATGTATCGTATGTGAGTCTACTGTATGTATGTATGCTATTATGCGCTCTGTCGTGTATGTATGTAGCCTGCTCATGTCGACTGTCCTAGCTGCATGCTATGTATGTATGATCATGTATCGTATCTAT